CTTTGTATGAAAAATTTTACTTAAATAAAAATACATTAACTATTTAAACTAAACCTGAAATTTCCACACGTGGTCCATCACTTTTCTACTGACCACTTCACTGCTTTACTCACCAACCGGAAACCCGAGTCTCTCACCTTCACAGATGACCCCGGCTGCTTTAGAGTCCGTACACAGGTGGGGTCTGTTGGCGATCTCCCTGCACTGCCACAGGCTCTGGTGCTCTGGTCTGCAATGGTAGTACCACAGTGTCCCCTGGTTGTGGAGGAGCGGAGGAACAAACTGGGTGAAGTTCAGTGGTCTGGTTCCGCACCGCAGCATGGAGCACACCATGGAGGCCAGATGTTCATTCCAGCAGTTGTCACACACCGTGCCCCAGCGGCCGTTACGGTGAACCTCCAGTTTACCAGAGCAGTGATCCGCACCTCCAGTCAGTCTGATGGCTCTCATCTCTGCACACAGAACACACACTGTGACGCTCTCACAGGAAAATAGAGTCGTGTAGTAAATTAATGACAAGTATTCACAATAAGATATATATCTATAGAATCTCTCTGGGGATTTTTGTTTTTGTGGTTTTCTTTTTACAGTTTATAAGCAGACGTGCATGTCTCATGAAGTCTCGACTCCTATTCTGGGTTTTTAAGAATAATATGATTCATGTATTTTATTAACTATAAGTGTGACCTGAGCATATGACCCCAGCATCCTCCTTGTGTCCACAGTCGGGCTCCTCCTGTGAGGCCTGGCAGGCCCACAGATTGTCCTCATGGCCAGAACAGTTCAGCTCGTCCAGGAGGACGGGTCCTCTGCCCGGGGGGAAGGAGCCGCCCTGTCCCGTCACACTGAGGGCGTAACCACAGCCGAGCTGGGCGCACACCACGTCGGCATCCCTCAGGTCCCACCCGTCGTCACACACTGTTCCCCGTCGGCCGTCTCTCCACACCTCCACACGTCCAGCACAGCGGTCGGGGCCTTCAGCCAGCCACACGGCCTGGTGGCCTGAGGACAACATCATCAACTTACTGCAAGTCACTGTTCAACAGACGGGCGTTAAACACGGGAGAGGTTTTTATAGGGAACTTAAATAAAACAATAAAAAAGAGGCACTAATAACCTTCCATACCGAGTAATGATATCCAACTATTAGGAGCAACGGTTGAAAAAGCATTTAGAAAATGTTTAATGCAAAAATAACAAAACGACTTTCAAAGAATAGATGACTTTTAAATCAACATTTATAAAAATGTGTAAAAGATATATTCAATTTACTCCAGCACATGAAAAGGAACAGAAAACTAGACTGACATACCTCAACTTTATATTCAAATACACTAGACCCAGATCTTCATTTCGATCTCTCCCT